CATACAAGAACCACAACTCTCTTTTATTGCCCACAACCATAACTCTATTTCAATTCTTTACAAGGTATTCTGTTACTAGTAACATCCTCATTTCCGAAGCAGTCTTGCGGGGGGTATTTATCACATTTAGTGTTAGTTCTAGTTTGTTTAAACTTCACACAGTGGTAGAGGACATCAAGGCGGAGTGCAGTGTTAAAGAACCATAACTCTATTTTGCCCCGTTTTTAGCTCAACTATTCGCAGAATAATCGAGCTAATGCAGTCACCCATTTGTCGGCGTCGGCGTCCCTGTGGTTAAGTTTTTGCATGTAAGCTGGTATCTCCATAACTACTGAAGGGCATGGATTGAAACCTCACACACTTGTTCTCTGTGATTATCTAAGATGATTGGCACAAGTCCCATAACTCTAATTTGCTTTTTTGCATAATTATGCCCCTTTTTCGACTTAGAAAATCTTGGTTAAGTTTTTGCGTGTAAGCTGGTATCTCCATAACTACTGAAGGGAATGGATTGAAACTTCACACACTTGTTCTCTGTGATTATCTAAGATGATTGGCACAAGTCCCATAACTCTGATTTGCTTTTTTACATAATTATGCCCCTTTTTCGACTTAGAAAATCTTGGTTAAGTTTTTGCGTGTAAGCTGGTATCTCCATAACTACTGAAGGGAATGGATTGAAACTTCACACACTTGTTCTCTGTGATTATCTAAGATGATTGGCACAAGTCCCATAACTCTGATTTGCTTTTTTACATAATTATGCCCCTTTTTCGACTTAAAAATTCTTGTTTAAGTTTTTGCGTGTAAGCTGGTATCTCCTTAACTACTGAAGGGAATGGGTTGAAACTTCACACATTTGTTCTCTGTGATTATCTAAGATGATTGGCACAAGTCCCATAACTCTGGTTTGCTTTTTTGCATAATCATGCCCCTTTTTCGACTTAGAAATTCTAGGTGAATTTTTGCCTGTAAGCTGGCATCTCCATAACTACTGAAGGGTTTGTACCTTTTCGAACAATTTTATGTATTCATATAGGTAAGCATTATTATACTCAATGAAACACCCTTGTGACAACTTTTCGAATAGTCGAGCGTTACTGTCCTCCGACAGTTCTTGTTGATTAATCTCCCCTTTTAGAAAAATCTTGTCCGGGACATAAGTCTAAAACTATAAGAGATATCAACATGAATCTTTGTAGGTAGATAAATCTAAATGGGTAGATGTGTAGTGCACAAGAAACGTAACTGCCTTACCTAATTTTGGAGTAACTGCCCTTTGTTCATTTTTACACTTTGAACTTTTTCCGGAACATAACTCTAAAATTATTAGAGATATCAACATGAAACTTTGTAGGTACATAGATCTCCTTGGGTAGAAGTGCATTTCAAAAGAACCATAACTCTGCTCAGCCCCGTTTTTGAATTATTTCCCCTTTTAGAAAAATCTTGTCCGAGATATAACTCGATAATTATAAGAGACTTTGTAGGTAGACAGATCTCAATGAGTAGATGTGCAGTGCATAAGAACCATAACTGCTTTGCCAAATTTTGGAGTTATTCCCCTTTAATTATTTTAACACTTTGAACTTTGTCCGGGATATTACTCTAAAATTATCAGAGATACCAACATGAAACTTTGTAGGTTGATAGATCTCTGCATTGCAAAAGAACCATAACTCTGGTTAGTCCTGTAATTGAATTGTCTCCCCTTTTAGAAGAATCTTGTCCGAGACATATCTCTATAATTATAAGAGATTTCAACATGAGACTTTGTAGGTAGATAGATCACAATAGGTAGATGTGTAGTACACAAGAAACGTAACTCTGCCTTGCCTTATTTTGGAGTTATTGTCCTTTGTTCATTTTTGCATTTTAAACTTTGTCAGGGACATAACCCGGAAACCATAACAGGTATCAACAAGAAACTTTGTACGTTTTTTACCTAAAATCTCGAGTCTTTAAGCTGACGGCGTTCTTGTCAAGGGGTTGAGATAAAGGTTTGAGTGATTAGGTTAAATGTGATTTGCACAGCTTTAGGCGTAGAGGGGATTACTAGTGTTATGGTCAAGGTCACTGGTGCTTAAAAGATTTTTACAGTATATACAGCCTTTATTTCTTTCATACTTAGTAGGAACATATGTTCGGTAGGCCTTTAACATAAGTCTCTGAATTCAAGGTCATTAATGCTAATATAGATTTTGACTACAACCGATGTTTCATATTTAGTAAGAAAACATCTAGGGTGGTCCTTTATGTTTTGGTAGAGTTATGGGTCAAGGTTATGGTCAGCTATTCTAAAAATAGAATTTTAGGTGGTAGATACTTTAATACGGAAGTTTCATCAAATAGTAATGGTAATCGAATTCACATAATTATATTGACTGCAATAGAAATTAATGATTAACTGAATGGATAAGTACTATTTTATATGGTATTACGTCACACCAACACAGTATCGTTCATGTTGCGACTTTCCAGCTTTACTGATGGAGAAGACTTCAGTTGCCCTTCCATGGGTTAATCCAGGCATAAACTGGCACCCGAGTAGAACCACTTAGCTGTATAAATTTCTCATATGAAAGAATCCGGAGACGATTGACCTTGACGACTCGGCCATGGACGCCCCTGAATGCATTGGATGACATGTATTTATCAACACGGGTTCTTGTTATTTCCAATCCGCATGAATATTTGATGTCCTAGTTAGTGCACTGTTTTTCTCGTTTTTACTAACTTTGCATTATGAACTAACTAAAATGTACATCAGTTATCTTGATTTGAAAAGACTATGATTCGCCCGACAACCTCACAAGTCGACCACAGTAAATTGATACTCCCGCCATTCTTTGCGTGGACAATGAAACATTGCAATGACTAAAATCCCTTTGTTTTACTTGTTTTTCTTTATCTCTTATACTCCACCATGTAACAATTTACATTGTAAATTTAATCTACAAAATCAAAGACGGTGTCGTTGTAAAACCTAGCAAAGATAAACATTAACCTTTGTTCTGTTTAGCTGACTACAGCGTCTGTAAGTTTGCAGTATTTGCACACTACTGTATGCAGAATCCGCGCATCATCGTGAATCATTTATTAAAGACACTTATTATACGTGTTAAAGTATTGAAGACTACCACCACCAATAATGCCGTAATGTAAGCATATGTCCGTTATAGTGTCGATTATAGCAAAGATGTATTAGAAGCCCCAGTGTTTTGTGTTTTTTTTTACTGACTACATACAAGACTGAAAATTAATAATGTTTTGTGTGTGTGTTTTTGTTATTATTATTTATTATTATTATTTTTATTTTTTAATTTAATGTCAACTTATCAAAGCGAACCTTTACTACAGTTTTTCGTATATTTTCCGGTAGACGAACATTTTACAATCGCAAGTATGGGTTTTATTATAAGAAGTTGTGACACAATTTATCCATTGGGTTGAAGCTGTCTTTCTCCATCACAAGGTCTCTTTCAGTATGTGCAGTGGGCATCTGTTACCGAGTGACTTCGTATCGTCTGCAGCTGCTCATGTTTGTTGGTTCGATTCCCGTAGATGGCCCGAACTCCCAATGACGGTTAGTTATTCAGTTTGCTAACGGATGGCCAGTTATTCTTCGCAGACGATAGCTAATGTTTGAAATACAGAAAAAAGTAAGCGTTTGGCTTTACATCGGAAAAAAAGATTGTAAGCAATCGTTTCATTGTAAGAATTTTCGTGTGGCAAACTTTGGTTTAATATTCAAAATACAAAACCAGAATACAATGCAATACGAATGCAAATTGTCGCTTTGTTTTATGTTTCAAACGATAATTGACTGATTCGGAGTATTAATTTAAGAGATCTTTTTAAAGAACATTTCCTTATCAAAACCACTCTTGTTTTCACTTCAGCTATGAAACACTATCCCTTTCTATAAATAAAATTATTTTATCTGGAACTGAAAAAGATAAATATACTTAAAGATAATTCACCACAAATTAGAAAAAACACACCCGGGACGCATTATATAATTCATTATGGCAATAATCAGCATATATTACTGGTATCTTTGTGAGACTTTGTCTAAGCCTTATAAAATGCAAATTACATAATAATGCATGCATTCAATGACATACAATAAGTTCTTAATCTTAGTAATAATATATTTATATAACAAAGCTACCGTTGAGAAACGGTTAAGAACTGGACATACATGAACATATTAATTAGTTATAAAAGACACATTTAGTCACAAAAATGATATAACATTACCTTAAAAAAAGTATTATTTTTAGTGTCCTGTCACAGTTTCCTGAAAGTTACTAATTGACCATGTAGATGAACAATATTTTGATTCTTTTACATTTTGAAATTTAGTACTGCATGTGTAGCAGTAAAAAGTGATTTAGTATGAAAATCAAAATACCACTACTTTTATGACGAATCATTTCGCATCAAGCACTACTTCTTCAGGTGATAATTATTCAAACATGCTCTTAATCCATTATTGAAAAATTTATAACGCACATATTTGCAAATTTCTAAAGAAGAAAAATTATGTGGCTTCATTTAAAATTTCTTGCTATTAACCTCTTATCAGATATAGATCTAAAATAGATTGTTTTTATTCTAGATCTTGAATTAAAATTTTTAGATAGAGATGAGAATATAGTATCACATGATCACTTTGTTTGGTTTAAGCCAGTATTAAATAGAACATTTCGTCAATGAATAGCATATTCTTGTTTTCAAGTGGGGGTGGGGGAGAATAAGCAATTATTATCAACCATTCATTAAAGTTGGGGTCAAATTCATTACATTTTATATCTTTGTCATAATGGAGCAAAACATGTTTATGAATGAACGGTACATTGCCACGCTCTAATAATGATGTATAAAAGACTACTCTACACTGAAAAAAAAAATCTGACTTAAAATGATATGAGCGTATGACAATTATAAAATTGTATCCTTTCATGCAGATGGTATCCGTATTGTATAGATCTATTAAAGATCAATTTTCATTTATAGAAGGTTGAAATTAATAGGGTTTTTTTGGAGGGGACAAAAATACCATCTTGTATTAAGATGTGACAAAATCAAGTATTCTTATTTATTTTTACGACGTATCTTAGGACTATATCTGGGTGCTATACGTAGTTTTAAAGATGTACACGTGAGATACGCGCGAAGGACGAGTATACTGTGTCTTTTCTTTTTTATTGCGTTTCTAAAGATTAGTGATTTTCATCGTTTTTTTACGGGCATGAAGTATTTCACAGGTTTTAAGCGAGTTGTATTTGTGAAGTTAGGCAAACAAAATGGGGCCATTTTTATTTGGGTTATACTTGGCGTTGGAATTTTAATTTTTAATGTAAATACTGACTATTCTTAATATAACTATATAAGATATTATTAAATATCTGAGTGTTCTACGTATTATACGTAGCGGGCTTTAAAAAAACCCCAGAATTACTTCCTGGATCTATTAAAAAAAAGGACAAAAGAGTTATATTTATATGCACGGACGCATTAAAGAATTTGTATACATGTATATTTTTTTCAGAGAATTGGAAATATTGGATTTTTAGATTTTAATCTTGTGGTATTTTTATTAAATGAAAATTGTAGGTTAGTTGAGATGAAGTAAATGACTTATCGTATAAAGAATGTTAGAAATAATTAAATGATGCAATGGCATTCCTAATATTAATAAATGAAAATAAGAGAAATAAAAGAAAGAGTAACTAAGCTCGTGGATTACGCCTAGGATTAAAATGGGACCGTTCTTGAATCGAATTAGATGTTTGAATCTTTTATTAGCTGTTATCTATAGTGGGATAAGTTGTTTGAAAGAAGATTCACCCCACTGCGATGCCACAGTGAGTACATGTATTTCATTTTGTTTTTGTTTTCTTACGCTGAACTTAGTGAATTTATTTATAGGGACTCCACTGAAGTTTTTTGACATGACGGGGCTGGAAATAATTTTTTGAGATTATTACTCCATTTGATATAGATATAGATACTTATAACTTATGTGTAAATTTTCAGATCATTAGCTCGCTCCGTTTTTTTTTGGGGGGGAATAATTATTATAATAGTGAAAAATGACCCAAAATTGAAAAGCCTTTAAACGCTTTTCACTCAAATCGGACTGAGAATAGCATAAACATATGATTTTCAATGTATTTATTGTATATTTCTTTGTTATATTTTATCTATATTTCTGTTTAAAGTGCTCATGTTTATCTATGTGAAAACTTAAAATGTTATGTTTTAGGCTTATTAACCTCAGTGGAGTTCCTTTAAACTTTAAAGCTGCATGCCTCAAGATGAGCCAAATTATTTCAATGAAATCAAACCTGATTAAAATGTACTAAGAATTTTAAGAAAAGTAAAAAGATTCAAGATTTAAGTAATGATTTACATGTTATGAGCTATTAATGATTGATTTTTCACTATTTAGACATCTATAACTCATATTTACGTCTTTTTAAGAAGAGGGGTTAAAATATAGTTAAGTTAATTTATTTGTCTTCTCGTTGTATTTTTTTCAGACAATGGTTGGAAGTGAATTAATTCGAACTAAAATGAATGTGCATAATGCAAATGGTAAGCTGAAATTTTTGTTGGCTATTATATAGATATCTACAGGAAAAGCAATGTTTAGCCTAAATGGTACTAAAGAAAGAAATATATATTTTACAACTTTTTTGTTTGCATTTCCTTACCTTAAATAGCATTTCCCTCTACAGATTCTTGGCCATGAATTGTTAATAGTTTTGATGATAATTATGTTGAAAATGATGATGGCGAATTCGATGGGGATGAATATGATGATGAGTATGCTTGTGACAGTGGTTTACATCATAGTGATGTTTGATAACTATAATGATGGTAGTATTGGTTTTGTTGATGTCGATGATTTTGATGATGATGCTGATTTTGATGTTGTTTTTGTTGATGATGATGATGATGATAATGATGACGACGACGATGTAAATGATGATTATATTGATGGTGTTGAGTTTGATGATGATAAAGATAATGATGATGATACAATGATGATGTTGGAGGTGATGGTGATGATGTAAATGATGATGTAAATGATGATAATAATTAATTTAATGAAATGAATTGATGAAGATAATGATAATATTGATGACGATGATGATGATTAAGATGATAAAAGTCATAATGGCCGATGATGCGCATTTTGATAATGATGAGTCGTTGAGGATTTAGTTTTCGTTTTTCTGTAAAACTTTTATTCAAGTTTCTTTGCAGCCCCTAATTTCTGTTGCAATTTAATGCTTTTGGAAATACTGAAAAATGTGAATACTGATTTATTTATTTGTATATTTCTTTATACTCTCCATTTCAAATCACAATTAAAGTCCATATTTTTGATAATACAAAATATAACTAGTTTTCTAATACTATCTTCTCATTCACAGTCACCTCATTTGAAGAGCCATTTCAAGATTATATGCCATTGGATATATGTCTCAGTAACGGAAGTTTGAGGATACACTGGACAACAAATGCTACAAAAGGTTAGAGGGCGTGTTTCCAATATAAGCCTTATTATATGAAGCTATTTGAGTACAAATTCACGGTTTTGTATAGCCAATAGTTATATCTCTATCCAGTGAAATGTCAGTAAAACAATAATGCAAAAGCTTCATTTTCAAAAAATTCTTCTATTACAACAATACTTTTTATGCATAAAAAGATGTAGTAAAGCTTGAAAGTTCTTCTATAATAAGCAACGTTAAACAGCTGCCATTTTTTGTGTTAATTTATATATTCTTACAAAAATCAAATACTAACTAGTATTCTTGGTAATATTACTCCGAAATATAGAAAGTTTACAGTATATATGACCATGTATAATGATAATGTGCTTTATCACATAGCCATGCAGCATTTACGACTCCGTAAAAATGGTATTGCACGGCCGGGCATATATTTTGACATGACGTCATTTTCGTTATATAATCATAGCATTAAGACGCGTTAAATGTTAGCGTTATACTACAGGCGCATCAATAAAAAATGGTTCTTTTTCACTTCTAAAGCACTTTAGTTTTGGTATGTGATAAATAGAATATTAAATTCGTGAAAGCTTAATACTAAATTTATTGAACTTGTTGAATAAAATAATATTTAGCTCACCAGAGGCTTGCATAATATAATTTTATTACACTCGTTCAATAAATTCAGTTTTAAACTTACACTCATTATTCAATATCCTCTATTTGTCACACATCCGTTCCGTAAATATGGTATTGCACGGCCGTGCATATATTTTGACGTGACGTCATTAGCGTTATTATAGCATAAAATCGGCTATTTTTTCCTCTTTTGCCCATGTTATAACGAGACCAAAACCATGTGTTAACATAGTCACGCGCTCTTGTTATAGCCCGGTTTCACCTATGCGCAATACATACATGGCCCAGTAAACAAACAAACAAAAAATGACGAATTGGCCTGTTTGCCAAAGAGTCATGCGCTCTTGTTATATTGAAATTTATTGATTCGAGGGCCTCAGTCGCATATTCCAGTAACTATGCCGGAAAAACGGCGTATAGACATCGGTGCTAATATAGGGTTAACGCACGTTTTTCCGTGTTATAACGTCTGCAGAGTCCCGAGGAACGGTTGGTGCCGGGCGAGGGCTCCAACAGTTCCGAGGGACTCTGCAGACTTTATAACACGAAATAAACGTGCGTTGACGCTATTATAGCATAAAATTTTCAAACAGATTCGTGATGTATAGTTTATACAAAACACAATTACATTAAAGTCTTGTGCTTGGACGGTATTTATCCAATTCTATGTTTTACGTATGCGTTTCATTTTTCCGGGGCCAACAACTTGGAAAATTCTCGGAACCGAACGAAATTTTGAATTTTAATTGATTTAACAAAGCTTGGCCTTTGGAGATTTATTATCTCAAGAAAAAAACGTTACATTACTCTACCCTCTACCCAAGACAAAACATGACCCTCAGAAATTCTTAGAATGATTTCAGATTGACGGTAGAAAAAAGATCAGTGACATCAGAATCGGTTTTTTTTTTCAAGCAAACAAGTTTATAAAAAAATCAGGCACTAAGCATTATTCTCTCAAAGAAATATAAAGAGCATTTATCAACATTAACATAAATAAAAACCATTTTCTCATATTAATTTTGTGTTATCTAGTTTTGTAAGTTAATCGGAGTGTTAAACTGAATGACAGGTAGATTCTACTGTACTTGTTTACATTGACAACTGTACGTTTCTTAGAAAGGGCGACAACCATGATTAGCACCGATGTCTATACGCCGTTTTTCCGGCATAGTTGCTGGAATATGCGACTGAGGCCCTCGAATCAATAAATTTCAATATAACAAGAGCGCATGACTCTTTGGCAAACAGGCCAATTCGTCATTTTTTGTTTGTTTGTTTACTGGGCCCTGTATGTATTGCGCATGGGTGAAACCGGGCTATAACAAGAGCGCGTGACTATGTTAACACATGGTTTTGGTCTCGTTATAACATGGGCAAAAGAGGAAAAAATAGCCGATTTTATGCTATAATCATGGTTGTCGCCCTTTCTAAGAAACGGACAGTTGTCAATGTAAACAAGTACAGTAGAATCTACCTGTCATTCAGTTTAACACTCCGATTAACTTACAAAACTAGATAACACAAAATTAATATGAGAAAATGATTTTTATTTATGTTAATGTTGATAAATGCTCTTTATATTTCTTTGAGAGAATAATGCTTAGTGCCTGATTTTTTTATAAACTTGTTTGCTTGAAAAAAAAAAACCGATTCTGATGTCACTGATCTTTTTACTACCGTCAATCTGAAATCATTCTAAGAGTTTCTGAGGGTCATGTTTTGTCTTGGGTAGAGGGTAGAGTAATGTAACGTTTTTTTCTTGAGATAATAAATCTCCAAAGGCCAAGCTTTGTTAAATCAATTAAAATTCAAAATTTCGTTCGGTTCCGAGAATTTTCCAAGTTGTTGGCCCCGGAAAAATGAAACGCATACGTAAAACATAGAATTGGATAAATACCGTCCAAGCACAAGACTTTAATGTAATTGTGTTTTGTATAAACTATACATCACGAATCTGTTTGAAAATTTTATGCTATAATAGCGTCAACGCACGTTTATTTCGTGTTATAAAGTCTGCAGAGTCCCTCGGAACTGTTGGAGCCCTCGCCCTACCGGGCTCGGGCACCAACCGTTCCTCGGGACTCTGCAGACGTTATAACACGGAAAAACGTGCGTTAACCCTATATACAAACATAGTGTAAAGACGCGCTGAATGTTAGCGTACGAAGCGTCAAAGAAAAATGACTCTTATTTCACTTTTAACGGTCTTAATTTTGGATATGTGATAAATAGAATATTAAATTCGTGTAAGTTCATTACTAAATTTATTGAATTCGTTGAATAAAACAATATTATGCTCGCCAGAGGCTCGCATAATTTTTTTTTTCAACTCGTGCAATACATTCAGTTTTGAACTTACACTCATTCAATATCCTCTATATATCAATCTACAAACGCTGATACTATTAGTTTTAAAGAATTCTGAGAGGCTATATGACCCTATATAAAATCAAATGGTTGTTTATATTGCAAATTAACGTTTATCTAAGGTCATAAATTATAATCTGTCAATAATCTTTATACATATTTGTATAACGAATCCAAAATACTGCAAAAGTCCTTTATTAGATGCAAAAATGAAAAATCTTCTTAAATCAACTGCAGTTAGAAAAAAGGGTTATAGAAACGTCACGATTATCTAATGAAAAAGACGTTACAAATATAAAGCACTATAATGGGCCTTGAAGAAATCTTATTTTTTTCCTCAAAAAAGAAAATTTTTCTTTATTATAAATACGTTATATATTTTGACAGGTTATATGGCCGTATAAAACGGTTGTTTGTAATATATTTCCAAATAACCATTAGGAATGTGTCATATTACCTGTCAAAATCTTTGTAACTAGTTTTATAATCTTTAAATGAATAATATGCTTTTCATTGTTATTACCCTTTAAACAAGTACGGGTGCACTTTATGTATTTCTAAAACGTTTGTAATGGTTTAGCATTCATTGTCTTACTTGACCATAATAAATTTGAGCCGCGTCATGACAAAACCAACATAATGGGTTTGCGACTAGCATGGATCAAGACCAGCCTGCGCATCCGCGCAGTCTGATCAGGATCCATGCTGTTCGCTATCAGTTTCTCTACTTGTTATACGGTTTGTAAGCGAAAAGCATGGATCCTGATCAGAATGCGCGAATGCGCAGGCTGGTCTGGACCCATGCTGGTCGCAAACGCATTATGTTGATTTGTCATGACGCGGCTCAATTATGTTTTCCCTCTTTTTTCAAGAACACGAAGCGAAGCTTTGTTACGAAGTTAAACAGTTGAGAAATATGGACACAGTGGCTATAAAATGTTACCAAATACTGGTTCAACAAAGCTATTATAAAGCAGAATTGGTAAGTTGTGTATCATAAGAAGTTGGTTTTCATGCAATGTATAGACAAAGATGTATATGTTAAAAAAATGTTATCACTAACCAAAACTGGGATATAACTTCCTCAAATCAGGGAAAAAATATTAAAATTAGTTTAAACAATATTTTGTTTGTAATCTTTTCATTTACGTAATAAAGTATATACAGTCAATTTTACGGATTGAGTAGGAAGTTTAAAAAGCTGTTTTGAAAACTCTCTCCGCAATCACTATTTCACAAACCTTATGTAAATGGTTACAAAATATACAATATATAAACTAAACTATACAGTCATGTCATGTTATACATACTTTCTTTATAATAAGTATTCGTGAACTATATTCAGGATTCATAACTGTTCAATTTGAGGCATAAGCACAAATAAGATTTTAATTTAAATTCAAATGGAAACAATACTTAGTTTAGCGTTAAATCTGTTTTACAAGTACATGTATATTGTAAAATAAAAAAATAATACATGTAATTATAAAATAAAATTAGCATTTCCTATTTGAAATGTTTTGAAATGCTTGCTTTAAAGGCACATTATGTCTCGGAAACGAATAATTGTTCCTTATTTAGAAAGGTGAAACAGGAGTTTTAAAATGTTCTAATTATGGTTTTAGAGCATGTGAGATGCTTATAACAGGTACAAAAGTAGTGCTGAAAGTGAAATTATTTATCATAAAAGTAGCAAAATTAAAAAAAAGTTTGACTTCCATGCAATTTACTTAATCACTGTAACTGATACTTACTCCGAGAAAAATAGAGATACAGGTGATTGGCCTGGAAAGTTAAAAAGAACACGAAAGAAAAAAAAACTTTTTAGGAATATAAATTAAAAAAAAACATTTCTTGGGCATAATGGGCATTTATTGTCACCAAAGCTTTTAATCACAAAAAACTAATGTCTTTATTTTTTTCAATCGTGTAATGACTTCAGATAATACGTACCTTTTCAAGATCAAACTAGATCACTTATATAATATTGTCTGATAAATATGTAAAAGTCATATTCAATGTGATATTTTGAACAGATACAAAATGTGCTTGATTGTACAAAGAACTCTTTTCAAATATTTTGTTATTGTGCTTGATTGCTTAAATTGGATAATTCATATAACAACATAAGATTTTAAGAAGACAATTATGCTATTTCTCTTTTAGATTAAAGTAAAATATACGTAGTAAGAAGTTCCTTGTTTATTCTGTTTACAGTTTTGTTGGTTTGGAACAGAACATCCGAAGAAAAGTCTCTACACACACGCAATTGTAACACATCAACTAAACAAACAGAAGAATTATTATTATAGCGAATTTTACCTATCATCTACAGGTAAAAAATTTGATTTCATTTGTATCATATTTGCACAATTGTCGGATCCGAGCAACAAAAAAAATTGTTGGTTTCTTCTTCTTAGTTAACAATTGTATCTTCTGTAACGAAATATTGTTGAATCCGATTATCACTAATTTGTTCGGAAATACTGTTTGTTTCGGTTTTACGTCACACCGACACAGTATAGGTCATATCGCGACGTTACACCTTTACTGGTGGAGGAGGACCTCAGGTGCCCTTCCTTGGTTCCAAAAGGGCAAGATTTTAGCATTTTATGATTCAATCGCCTTGTCCGATATACACCGGAATACGGTATTTAGTGTGGTTCTCCAATCCTTTTTTTAGTCTCACTCATAAAGTATCAAAGCGTATTAAAACCTATTTAAATTTGATATTGTTGCAGATGTAACAAAGAACTGTGGATATGATGTATGCAACGAGAATTTAGTAAATTTGAAACATAGAAACACTGCGTGTGGGGGTATAAATAAAATATACCACACGAAAGGCGTCAATATTGAACAAGTGATGTTTAACTCTACACAATGTGAGAATATTGGGATAGAAATATATAGAACCGTAAGTTACTTCTTTTACCAAAACCAAGTATAATTATAACAGTACACGTTTGTAACGTCAAACTTTTAATCAAAGACAGCAATGTTGTAGTGTTATTATTTGATGTTTATACTTTTTGCCGTATATAATGTGTTTTTAACTATTAACCATGAGTTATACAAACAAACGACTGTATTTACTGGGACCTAACAACTTTGAATTAAGCATAAGATATATCTAATAACATGTATGCAGTCTGATTTGGATCCTATTTATTTGGAGTAAAGGATATACATGTATAAGGTTTTGATAATTTGGCTGTACCTTTGCCGAAATTTACAGCTTGCCTGCAATTCCTGCAAACGATTATTGTAGGTTTTGTACCAGGACTAAGTAAGTATAAACACGGGTGTTTGTAAGAGTTCCTTTTTAGTTTTGGTATTTCTGTGGAGGAAACTGTGGAGCTTGCTAGACTTGGATTACATATGAAACCTGAAGCCTGGTTAACCTGAGTGCGATTCTGTCTTGCAAAATACACGAGAACCAAATATTAAGCAAAGTATCGAGATAACCTTGCAGTTGATATTTATCATAAAACAGTAAATCCTGATTCTTAGAATTACCATTTCTACCTTAAATGTAATGGCGTGAAGTCATATAATGGTAGTAAAATGGATTTTCCCCGCAAAGCTGCATTTATCACTGCAGCAGTATCAGTATTTGTAAGATAATAATTAAATTACTATTAAACAAATTTTATACAGAATGAAAAACTTTTTCATTTTTTCTTGCTTCTAGAGACGCCCTTAATGGGGCGTAATCTTGCAACATATAAACAAACTATTTTATTGAGCAGCATAATTTTTCTCTGATACACATTTTAAAATTTTAATTTGCAGACAGAAACGGAGCTTGAATTTTATTTGAATTGTTCCGAGAGTGGTCAAGGCCAGGTACATGTAAGTAACCTTTGTATTCATAGGATTTTATTGTAATGTCTTACGGATTACGTTCTTCTTTTACAAGTTCAATCAAACTGAGGCTGCAATTACCATTACCACTTATCATGTAATGTTGTTGTTTTTAATGCTTCTGAGAGATCACCTCTTTTCCCGATTTTTGGTAGCACTTTAACACAGATTAATTTGTAACCGTTACCCGAATTTCACAATGTTTTGTCACAGTTTTTCTTCCTTGGAAAGAAATGAAAACATGTGTTTTATATGGTTTAAGCAATGAATTTAAATTGTTAGATGCTTATCACGTGAGAGAAGTAGTGATACATGTTAAATGTTTTATCATAAAGGTAGCAAAATATAAACACGCTGGTAATTCGTCTTCTATACAAAATACTAGGGTGAGAAATAAAACTCAGAGCAATTTTCGGGCTAAACGGGCCTTGCGTGAATCCATTCGTGCTTTCAATTATTATATTTTCAGCTCAAATGTTTATCCTTGTGTGTGCAGTATGTAAGTCGTCCATACTCGAACTCTGATAACAGATGTGTTGAAAAACCAGAACGTTATGTTATTGTGATGGTATTCCAATATCTACGCAATTACTAAGAAAACCAAATTTTGTCATGTAAAGACAACAAGTACTTTTGAAGAACGCATACTAGTCTTGATATAAATGATTTTAATATATTAATTCTTTATGCAAAATGATGAATTGTACAAAAATACTTTGAATTCTTTGTACTTATTAAATTTTCTTTATTTCAGATTATATACTCAGTGCAAGGGAGATACTGTCATAAATATTTCACAACATCTGTTGTTTGCGATACAGGTAATACTAAGGAAAGTCTTCAATTTCTAACTTGTTTTCTGGAATGTTAATTCTTATACAAAATGTATGATAAATTATAAGCTGACTCTAAAGATGGGTCAGTCGTGTTTTTTTCTTTGTCTTTTGATTTAATATAAAAAAGGTAGATCAAATAGTTTGAGACATGTTTATTGATGTACCATGTAATGTGTTAAATTTATATGTGGCTAAATTACTTCCATATATATTTAAATTAAGAGTGTCTTGCACATATTTCGGCACATATTACATACTCCATGTCCCCTTGTGGTCAATGGGTTTCCTTAATGGATTGAGACATCAGAATTTCAGCCACCGTTTTCCCCAGCGTGATAGTAAGAGGCGCCTAAATGGAATCGAATTACTGTTGTCTATGCATCTCTTAGCTATAGCAGGTGAGAGAGTTTTGACCAAGTTTGTAACATCCCCGGTAAGCCAAAATCATTTGTCTTGTTCCGGCGCCATATGACCTAAACAAAACGCACCTCATTGATATGGCCAGTGCTTTATTGCTGACTGAAATAACTTGATTTGTAAGTCATCAGTTACACACTTTTTTATTCTAGGTACGCCAATGTACACAACTTCACTACATCTACCACAACAACAACCACAAGATCCCGATTATCAAGAAATTACTTTATGGACAACTGTCATTATCTTTTCAGTAATTGCAACCTCCGTTTCAATTGGCGTTGTATTAGGTAAGCAATAAATCGTTGATTTAAATTCCATTTAAAGACCCTACGCCTTCAAATAAGGAATAAAATGAACCCTACAACGATAAATATGCTAAATATCTCAAATGGACTTGACCACCAGTCATTCTGGACAAAACCATTCATCGCTTTAAGGGAAATTGTCATAACTACTGATTAAAAAGCGAAAAATGCAGATCATGGTCAATACTGCAAGAACGTGTGTCGGCTGATCTTGGTCTGCAATGGTTGCATGGGTAAACTATGTTACCATAAGTTTACTAAGAACAAAACAAAACAAATCAAGCTTTAGAAATTCTCGTGATAAGATAAATAAGTGCATAAATATTTCCAATCCATAAGCGCATTGCTTATTTTGTTTTATTTCTTCTTCTCCATATTTTGTTATAACCCATGTTTTTTCAAGATCAAGATAATCATTGACATGGACAATGTCAAATCATTTTATTACATGTAGTTTGCTTGACTATAGTTTCCAAATTTTAAAAGCTTTCTTTATTATCAAGAATGGAACATAAATCTAGAGAAGCGTTAAATTACCTTGCTATTACTTGCTATTTACCGCCTCCGTGGTCAAGGGGTTAGAGTAGATGACTTTTAATCTAGTTACCTCTCTGGCGTGGGTTCGATCCCCGGGAGATGCTTTGGTAGTTTAGCGCGGAGGAAGGTAGTCTTGTACTGGTGTAACTCTCCAGGAATGATGGTTAGGAAACTACCCGCCTATATGACTGAAATACTGTTGGAAAAAGGCGTAAAATGAAACAAACAAACAAACAAACCTTGCTTTTTTATTGGTAAAAAACAATAACAACTGTTACTGTACCAGATTTAAAAACAAACAAAACATTTTCTTTGTGCTGTGAAACTACTAATTTTTACATCTGTATGAATGGCCTTTATCTCAGTGATAGATCGATAGATCAGGAACAAAGAGACAAAAGTCATACTTACCTTTCTTCCCAGTGTGCGTGTCACAAATAGATGTAATCATTTCACAATGTCTTCAATCTTTTGTTAACTACTTTAGGCACGGAATTTTTGTCAAGGAAATGTGATATTGTTCTTTGTTTTAGTCCTATTTTCAAAAGGTTATTTGAAAGCTGGTTTCTTCTCTATTAGTGTTTTTTTACCCCGAGAACTATATTTTCTAGTTGTATTTCCCTTCATATAATTATCTCAAAATAAGTTAACGTTTGTAACAATTGTAAGAAATTGAGAAAATGAGGTACGGGGTGTACGTTTTATGATTATTTATAAAAAATAGATGAACAAACATTAGATATTTTCAGTTTTGGGTCAGCGCATGCGAAACTAGAATATATATCATTACACACAAATGCTCTTTGTTATTGTTTACCATATATTGTTATATCATACGATTGTCACGCTTTCAAATCTTATGAAAGAGCGGAACTGAAACATATTTTTACAGTAAGCAAGTTGCAAAATGATATAATAAAAAAATAATGTCGTAAATTTGGGCACTTTATTTACTTTTTTTAAATATCGAAAAAAAAGAGTATTCCAATACTTTATTGTGTTGAAAATTGAATACTATTTAAGCTGTTACTAGGCTGCGCTAGAGATGTCGGAATTTCCATCATCTCTAATGAACAGAATCAACAGAATCAATAAAACCGAGTCTGAAATTTTCACTTTAATAATTTATTTTCATTGCTGAAAAGGGGACTTATCCCCCACTGTTTCCAGACTTTAACATCATATCATTATCAGTGCTCTTTGTGTTGATGTACAAAGAATTTTATCTAATTTCAAAGACTGTCTTAGAATACATTTGTTTAACAGCGAAATGAAAGAACTGCAATACATGCAATAACAAATTCATAATTCAGACGTTTTTCCTAATCTTACAGAATTATATCACTGCTTTAAATTTGATGTCGCCCGTTAACTCCATTTCATTGCCCAAAAAATGTAATTTAGGGTGCAATTTACTATTTAATACTGGACAAGTATTTAATTAATGTAACTTTCTAGAAATTATGTACGTCATAACAAATTATCAGATTAAACTCTAATGCTAACCTATTATAAGTAAATAGTTCGCATGTAATTCAAAGCCTTGCGATTTTTGTTTGAAAAGGACTTACCTGAGATAGATATCGTTTAAACAAACAATTTGCGGAGTTTCTTAAAAAAGAATGACGTCTAATTAACTAGAAACATGAACACCACGGTAATTTTTCATATGATTATATTTAATAACATGTGATTATATTTGATATTCGATATGCAAAAAAGGGGGATTGTGGATATTTTCTTGTCTAAAAATCTAGCTTTTTACGTTTTAACAACACTATTTAGAGATACACTTTATGGATTTTTCTAATGTTTTTTTTTTTTTAAAAAACTTCTGTTTACATATAACAATTGTCATATAAGCTCCATGGCATTTCAGGGACTAACAATAACTTGAAACTTCTTCCCTAAAAGTAATATCGACATGTAATAATTATGACAATACAAAAGGCACAATTAGTCTTAGAGATTAATAAAATATTCCTTCAGATAGAAGGGCAAACATACGTTTAATAATGATATGGTAATGTATTTAGAAAACATGACTGATTGTTTGTTTGTTTGTTAGTTAAATGTAAAGCTAATATGTAATAAAGGTAGCAAAATGTGAAGAAAATGGTACTTTTACTTCCATACAAATTACTAGATCACTGTAAATTTACCCATTCACAACAGGAAGAAGCAAAAGATGGACGAGGTATATTGCCAATGAAAAACCTTCTGTACACCAAGAATAAAAAATTTTTTGAAAAATAAAAGCCATAGAGTCTTAAGGCTAAATTGGTCTTGATTAAAAAGTGCTCAACAAAAGGCATGGTGTGATGATCATAATACAAGTTTTTATTCCAGTTATTAGACGACAAACCAATAGGTCTTCCCATATTTGGAGTAGAACATTGCCAGAAGGTATGTGTTAATCTTTCTTGTTTCTCTAAACATCGACCATTTTCCATGCTTTTAAAAAATATATCAATACAAGCAACAATGCAAAACTTGTTTGCAAGTTTGGCTCTCATCTGGGAATAATATACACATTATATATACATAGTAAATAAATATGATTTACAAAGGGTTTAACTAGATATTTGATTTGAGATTTTTATGGAATAATCAGACTACTGACGACTGGATCAGTTTAATAATTCAATTACTAATAGAGGCATGGAAAATAAATTTATAACGTATTCTATGTTTGTCCTTTATAAACACTTATAGCACAGTACATTTGATCTAAACTACCTGCTTAACCAGAAAGTTTCAAATTCAATGTTTGTAATTTGATAACCATTCAGCTAATTTGCATAAAACTGTAAATAATGGAAAGATCCAATTGTGTATAGGACAAAGCAGCAACATAACGTTTACTTTGATTACTATTATGAGTACTTTCATAATCATAATATAGTTATTGTTGCTACTGCTGTTGCTGCTGCTTAGTTGCTATTGTTATATTTGATTTTATCTTAATAGTTATAATAATTTGTTTGTTTTTCACAGCAAATACACAGGTTTGGAATAACAGAAGAGAATTTGATGGCCTCAGCATAGAAAACGACTCCGGTTAGTATAATGTACTTCCATTACTTATGTTTATGATCAGTTCTAATTTTTTTTCGTATAATTGCAATGATTGTTGAAGATCTATTTCACTGTATTGGAAAGATACGGACTGTTTTTGATAAAACCAGCGTTTTAGACTATTTTGGATTCAATAACTGTTTAAATGAAAATAATAAAAATAATCACAACAATTCTGCTTGATTTTGGGATACCTTCAGTTTAATTTTGTAAATTTACTTTTTCACTGAATATTGACATTTATACCCTTCAGTCAGTCTTCCGTTATCAATTCGTTTCATAGGACCAAAAAAGATAGAGGTAGTGTATGGAAATAAAAGGAAAGTGCATTAACTTGTATTCTTAAATAACTCATACAATAACCTTTTCAGTTATAATCCTATATACATGTAAACTACATCACGTTAATCATATTTAAATCATGAATTTAACTCGTATTTTGCAACAACCCCTAAATATTGTAAGAAACGGACAATTAATGATATCAACGTTTTTGCTGAATTTTTGGATGATCTGTAGGCACTAGACAGCTTATGATGATATGATATCTTTACAAAACTGTTACTAGGTAGGAAAGTAGGGACATCAATCTTCAAGTCGAGTAACTTTAGTTCATATTATTTCTTATAAAGATATAACTATTTATAATTTTAAACCTACTTGAAGTTTTATTGTGATCATACATGCTCCATGCTCTAATGACCGAATAAAGTAGAAATAGATACATGAATAGTATGAAGTAAGTCACATATAAAGATATACTGGTAAATTAACCAGACGAAGGAAAAAAATCAAGTACTTCTACTTTCTGACAGGGACATCTGAATCCAAAAATAGATGTCCTGTCAGAATTGACTGAAACATTAGTTTCAACCCCTTGTATGTTCATACTTTTTAAATAATGCAGCAGTAAATTTATAGGCAAACTTGCACACCCGAACATGACTGACCAGGCGCTATCCTGGTTTGTTGAGTAACCTGAAAAAAAAGAAACGTGGTTATTTTATTAAAAATACCAGATCGTAAAAATTATCGAAAAACGGGACTGACAAATTTTTCTGGTTTAAAGTGAAATATATTTAGACAGCATCTCTTGTATAGAGAGACGTGTCGGATACATAAAGGATGCATGAGAAGGACTACGACTCCAGCAAGCGCATGTGTCATTGTCTAAATTTCTTGCGCGGATTGCAAACATTCCTTCTATCTTGTCTGGGAACGCTGTTTTTTTAACAATGAGACTGGTCTTCTTTTATTACAATCATACCGCCTTAAAGAGAAGCTACTTTTGTAAAAATAAAAATGACATAAGCACGGTATTACGTCAAGATAGGGGGCGTGGAAGGTAATTTGCACTTTCCAGTACCGTCCATGAACAGGCTCAATCAAACCGAACTTGCAACAGTTTACAATTTGACCTTGTTGGCGTTCTTCAGGGATTCTGTTTTATCTATTGCATGGATGTTGTCCGGTTCGCAGGATAAATATGTAAAATTAATTTTTCAACATTTACACCTTGTTTATCCAGTAATGAAGAAATGTGCAAATAACTCAGGAAATGTGCAAAACACCATAGGATTGCGCAATTTTGTGGCCGAAACTATCACCACGTTAAGTCAAAAGAAGTAAAGGAACCAATACATATTATATTAGAACATCAAAATAAAAGAAATGAATAAGTTCGCAAGGCTAATGAAACATTTTTCTATGAACCTAACAAAATATGCCCATCTAAATGTCTGTTTTTAAATTCATTCTTAAGAATAACCACCTGGCTAGCATATTGAAGGCGACTAAAGAATGTGTTCCTTCTATGTCTATCTGCACAATGAAGTGTTCAATACATCGATTTTGGTATTATGTATACCCAAGGCCTTTCCAAACTAGTAGGAGTATGTCATATTGCAATGAAATTAGCAGAAAAAAGTGAGTGATACAGTTATTACGGGGTATTTCGTGATTGCTGCACCAAAACTACATTAGTTACCTGAATAATGAATTTGTTGATACAAAGTTGATAAAGAAGCGGCACAAACACGAACATTCAGTAATTATTTATTGCAAACATTTGTTGTTTTTCTCAATATGTACAATTCATATTTGAACATTTTGTAAAACGGTTTGGTACTAATGACTTTAAACTCGTTTCGAGACAAACTTGTTAAATTCATCCTTGATATATATTCCATAAAACACTTTTTTAAATGAAAATCACAATTATTTTCACAATTTTAGCATGTTTTAAGATGAGATCATTAAGTTTGTCTTGATTTAATAGTCACAATAATATATAAAAAATTGATATTAAGTTGCAATTGTTTCATTCTTCTTGTTATTCCATATATACTCGTACAGTATACATTTAACTTATTTAAGTTACTAAAAAAAGCTTTTCCACCATATGTAAGCCTTTAATTTACCGCTTTTACATTGAAATCATGTATAACCACAAAGACATGAACGTCATTTAGTATTATAATTAATAGGAAATATATTTTAAGGCATGCCTCATTAAAATGACGATGTCGGACATAATTGCAGTTTCACTGTTGACATTAAAACGCTGGATCATAATTTGTCTGCTTCTTTTACTTTTATTACTTGTCTTTGGTTTTACAAACTAGAACAACATTCTTGAATTATTTCTTTAAATATATCAAATAATTGTTTTTCGAAACGTCATATTAAATTTGATATACACAAGTAAACTTTAAAATACTAATTTATGTCATTGTTAATGATTGAGAAAATACAAAAACAAAAACAACAAAAAACAACAAAAAACAACAACAACAACAATAACAACAACTACAAAATCCCGGGATTATTGGGTGGGGGCTAATCAATTTGAAGTTTAAAGACTGCTGGGCGAGATCTTCCGGGTAATGTCCAAGATTTAAGTATTGTGACAAAATGAAGAAAGAGCAAACATTCATATAAAGCAACATTCTTTTTTTCAACTACAAAAATCTACAAAAAAAAATATAAGAAAAAATTTAAAAAAGTAAAAAAAGCAGCATTTACATACGGCTTAGTGGCATATAAACTAAATTTTTTAGAATTGATTTCTTTAAATATCAAAGGGTTATTTCAAAATATATTATTAATTGTGATGTACACAAAAAACACTTAAAACGATCCCTTCATATAAACATGATTGTAATTGTTTCAAAGTATTGAAAAAAAATTTCTGTTGAATTAGGAAATGTTGTTGAAGAAGATATGCGTTTAAAAGATGACAGAATTCCACTCACTGAGATTCTTAGCAGTAGGACTTCAGACGTACCAGCTACATGAAAGAGGACCGTTGGCAATATGGATTTGTGTTTTATAATGTGCAAAACCAAAGAAATAATAAACATCTAGTCCACTTACAATTTACCGGTCGGGAAAATATGTTGGAATCGCATTGTCTGATGATAACGTTCATCAACTGCACTCCACCGAGGTTATATGACATGAATGGAAACTAATTTTGTGTGCAAGATTTCAGATAATTTGCCAACTCCGTGCTGTTTTCATAATAATTTCTTTTGTGTGCAAATTGACCTCTGAAAATCTTTATCACTCTTTGCATTTGTAACCATCCGAAATGCACCAGTTGGTTCTTGAAAGAAATTTGAGTTTATTTTGAAGTCTTTTGGACATCAGTTAAGCTCATTTTAACATTGATTTTTGTAAAACTGATTTGCTTAGCTTTGAATTTGGATCAGTCTTTTGAAACTGTCAGGAATTTCAACATCAAAGTACAAGAAAGTGAGCTACCTACAGAACAGAGCATGACCGTACAGCACCGGTTCCAGCAAGTTAACGGCTATGTTATAAAGATTATATTTGCATGTCTCAATTTTTTTGCCCTGTGTGTTCTTTGTGATTCATAAAGACTATATTACTTAATTGTATTTACATATACACGTTCATGTTGAATAAAATATATGTTGTGTTATGTTATGTTATTAAAATATCGATTTGTGATCATACTAGAGCAGATCTCGTCATATGCTTTTACATCAGCAAAGTAGATTTCTCTTCGGTGTAAACATGATTCTGACAAAATGAAACATAAACAAAACATGATGCAAAATACGTCTTTATATTCTTGTTAGGTAGATTGTTTTTCTAATTCTTCTTCACCTTAGAAGTATTTGCAATTATGCAATATGTTTGTCAATTTATACCGCTTTATATGTTTGATAACACATAAAAATTTAGAAGCTACCAGATTTCTTCCAAAATGAAAGTCCATGATATTATCTGTTTCCGGAACAGTAACGTTGTTCCAGGAAAAAAAACTTTTAAGGGTTTTATATCCTTTGCATATCACATCCTTGTGCTCTACTTTATCAAATTAAACAATGTTAACAGAGAGGGATAAAACAAAGAAAAGAGAAGAGAACATTATTGTGAATTGTACAGCTAATACCGTTTACATAAGTATTATTTGTTTTAAGAAATAAAATTCTAATGATATTAGTATGTTTATGTTGCTCATAATTTTGAATAAAGATATGTTGATTCTATTTTTCTTTAATTCTTTACTTTGTCTTTACATTTGTTATTTGTTTTATTTTCTTATGATTGATGATTGTCACTAAAACTTCTAAATAAGTATGTTTTACTGAAGTGAATGATAGCACTTCTTGTGATGACCTAAGTTATGATAATGACGATAAGGACGATAGTGATGATTATAAAGCTGAAGTTGGAAATTTCTTTTCGTCATCAATATGCCATGTAAATATTTTATTGTGGAAAAAAATTTGTTTTTAATTGAGAACAAGTAAAATAAAAAAATAAAGATTAAAATTGTTACACATACATATAGTAACAGTTAATTTTACAAAGGTTATTCATACAAAGACGACTATATTAAAAGTAATTTAATATGATATTCTGGTATAACGCTAAGTTATATTTCAAATGTACATATATGTACTCTATCGGTTTTTATTTATTTATACATAATTAACAGTACAATATTTTGTTTCCATATGTTTATCCCTAAAGAATTGTAACATAGAATGCCTCAGTTCTTTAATACACATTGATATTGAACGTTCACAGAATGAACTGTTTCGGAAGAAGAAATATTATTCTCCTCTTGTATGCTAATTGAAAATTAATATTTCCATATACAAAGTGTCAAATATCCTTCTTAAATCTTTTTATTAAAAAAAATTACAAACCTGTATTAAAATTATCCCGGTAAATCAAAACCGATAGAGTACATATATGTACATTTGTTAAATTGGAGTAATGAAACAGTCACACTAAATCTTATCTAATTTAATATAATCATAAACATACACACTCAAACCAAGCCAAACATCAAATGCCGTATATGGTATCTATGTGCTGTTCGCTGTCAGTTTCTCCACTTGTTATAGAGTTGGTAAGCGAACAGCATGGATCCTGATCAGACTGCACTATGTTGGTTTTGTCGTGACGCGGCTCAAATAATGATTTTCTAATGTATGAAATATTAAGTAAAGATAATTAGGTAAAATATGTAGGCATGTGCGCCAGTACTCAGATGGGAAATGATTAACTCACTTATTTCGAGTAATATATGGAAAATATAGCAAATTTAAATGTTTCTGTCTTCGTCAGTATATCAGATATCATATATAAATGCATCTTGATAAAGGCAATAAATATTGAAACATGATGGTGTTTCACAACCTGAACTGAACATTGTTTTTGATATAAATACCACTCATTTATTAAAGTCAATGGTACTGTTCACAGTTAGCAATACGTTAGAGAAATTTAAATTCATTCACCAAAAACACTTTTAACATTACACTTTTTTAAATTGCTTTTAAAAATATATATTGTTCCAAAATATCATTAACAATTTTCTACAAAATTGATTTTGGCCACTTCAGTCAATGAAATAATGGATCCATGATAATTTCATCACTAATGTGATCGTAAAATGTTAATTTTAATGACAAATAATAATTTTCAGACGTCACCAATAAGGTAAATAAAGAACTTCGGACCGGCAAAAGATTCGCAAGCAATGTTTTAAAGTGAGCACTTTTTGGTCTCAATCAGATATAATGTATGACACGAAAATTTGCTTGAAAGTTTATATCAGGCTTTTGTTGAAACAGAATACAATTAATAAAAAAGTGATACACTTTTATTAAATATATAACATCCAAATAACATATCCGCCTATATTTATTTACTCGTCCGGGCACAGTTTTGTGACCCATAATTTTAACTGGTCTTGTAATAATAAAGGAAACAAACCTGGGATTCTTAGAATAATCATCAAACTGATATATATATATATATATATATATATATATATATATATATATATATATATATATAATACGAAACACAGTGTTCTTTTATGTGGTCATGTACGGATAATTCATTGTATTTATAATGTTAACGTTTAATAATAAACCATATTTCTGTGCCTAGTTGGGTTCTTATCATACAGATTAGCTTCATACGTCTTTTAAAATATGTATCTGCTAATGACATGCGAAAGTGTATCGTTACTAACATATAGCTTTTCCATCCATGTTTATCAGTTAAAACTAAAACCAGTATTTCCCTAATGGATATCTGAGTTGTACGAATTTCATTTCATTGTCTCAAATTTTGAAGACGGATAATATCCGTTCTATGTTGTTTCTTAAAACATAACATGTTAATGCGCTTTTCCATTATTTCTTTTATAATTATCTGCCATTCAAGTTTAAATAATGTTCCACTGACGAAATAAAGGAAAAAGTTAAAAGTGAAGTTGGAATACAGGAGCATCGACAGCGCAGATGTAAGCAACTGATGTCTGGCGATCGAACGTTCGTCAAGGTCCCTTAGTTCGTTCTTGACAACAAGGTAAATAGTATATGGCAGGGTTGTAACTAAAAATATCCCGCTCACTAAAAATAACATTTTCGCAGGTGTTTTCCGTTGCCTTGCTCTGCTGGCAGTCGTAGGAACTGGAAATATACGCCGAAGCATATTTCGGTATTGTAAAATTTGCACCCCGATGATAATATTTCCACACGTAATTGCAATTACGGGAATAACATTTAGAAATAACAATACCAATGGTTTCCATATTTCGTTATAGAATATCATATAATCTGTCGACATAAATAAGCATTGCTTTACTTTGACGAACTGTGATGCATTTTTTTCCGTTGGAATGTTCACCTCATCAAAATAAAATCCGAATATCAAATGGCAAGTGAAAAGAACTATAATAAAAAGCAGCACTGTTGATGCAATAAAAGCAAATCTTGGTGTCATTTTCGGATATGCTACCTTATGTGTCATAGAAAGAAATATTCGCTCAAATGTCATCAAAACTAGAAGCCACGCAGAAAATCCGGCCGATGCCAAAGTGATAAACCTGCTCAATTTGCACATAAAACTTGAAGTATTTTTTATAAGTGTTCCGTTAATGCTTTCATTAGCATCTATTGCTGTACCTGACCACAACACCACAATATCTGATCCTGACAGGTAGAGCAAATATACGCTTGTTGAGTATTGTCGTATTCTTTTCCTGGACAATACCAAGAAGTTTAGTATATTTCCAAGGGTTCCTATGGTAATCAGAATAAACGGTACAGTCCGCCAAATGTAATATGCAATCCAACATTCTACATAAGATTCTTTGTTACAATCCAATTTTATAAAGTTGTATTTTGTCCTGTTTTCCATTATCATGAGATACAATTTTTGAAATTCTTTTCTTGAATGTCTGTTAATATGGTATTGTAATATCCAAGTTTTTCTTTTAATGATTGCATGTATCAAAGCATGCTAGTATCACAAGACCGCTGTATATGTTTGGTTGTGTCTGAAACATCTTAAAATTTCCAATATCACAAACAAGCGTTTCAACTGTATATCTATCAAATGATATGGCAACAAGTTTCAATACGATACCAAACCGATCCGTTAGTTTTATTAAACGTAAGTTGGTTATTTACGAAAACAAAAATTATCATTTGTTCAAGAAAATAAACATAATAAAAACAATTGACAGAATTTCTCCGCTGAATGAAGCTGCTGAATATTTAAATTGTTTGCTTCTCTGATAGTAAAATTGTTTTACATGCATTATATATAGGGCACTTTGTACTTAAAAACAAAGAATAATATCTTGATGAAACTGATCTGAATTTTCCTGAGTATCCTAAAAAATATAACAATGATTATGCATATTACATTTTTTATTACTTTCTTTAGGGTTAATGATACTTTTATGACATGACTGAAAACTAATAATTACAATATTGCTGCATGAAATTATATTCATCATATTAAAATAAATGAAATTCAAATTTGTTTGGCCGGTCTAGAATCAGGTTGACGTCATATGAAATTTACCGGGAAGAAGCGAAAACGAAAAAATGTGAACAGTAGAGCTGCAGTCCTATTACTTTTTGAACAACCCTCGTATAAGTGTTTTCATGGTTATTGTAAAATTATGTAAAAGTTAATGCTGCGAATATCTTAGAGCTTGATACACTCCATATAAACCATAATAAACACCGATCAATGTTCATAAAGGGCTAAAACAATTAGTATTTCCATTTAAAACTCTAAAATACCCTTCTTAAATTTAAAAAGCTGATGGCCAAATAGCTAATTCAGTCTGCAATTAACCTTTTTTTTCAATTTTATATCATTACTGATAATTAATTTATTTGTGCTGAGATTTTTTAATGACATGACTAGACTGGAAATTTATATTTTAAATTTTTGGTACCACTTAACCCATTACTTCATGAGCATTTTGTGAAAAATGGCTGTTTTCATTGAAAAGTCTCCCGTTACAAGTTCAAATTGCTATAATACTATAAAAACTGCTTCAACACTAATCAAACTTGGCACAATTGTTGACTGGACCATTGCCCTTGCAACAACATGCTCAGGCTTAAATTTTCTGTTACCATGGCAACGAGGGGACATCTCAAAATTGCCAAAAATCACTATTTTGCGTTGATTTTTTCCATCATAATTGATTTCAAAGTGCTGCAACTTCTCAATGGATTGAGATAGAGTCAAATGCTTTTCAGCGTTGGTTACACGTTACCTTATGATTAATCTGAGGTCATTTATAGCCTCTCACAAGTCCAAAATTTTCTTGGCGATGAGGGGGACTCCGCCCCCCTTCAAACCCCCCAAACAGAAGGGGGCACATCACCCTTCTGGCAACCCCCTGATGTATCTTTTGGTTGGGGGGCCGCGCCGAAAAAGTGGTCACTTTTTTTTAACAACAATTCTCAAACGAAAACAAGTGTCGGGGGCCTAAATAAGGCATTTTTTCACCATTTGAGACAACAAAAAGGGGGGGGGGGTGAAAAAGGCGTTAAAAGGCGTGTATATGAAGTAATGGGTTAATGTGGGTCTGAACAATATTTTTGGGCAACAATTCAACTGTTCACTACTGTTCACTACGTTTTTTTGATATTTTTTTTCTTCAGAAATTTTATAAATTTGCATAAATTCTCACAATTTAAAAAGCATTAAAAAT